ATGCGGGCTGAGGGACCCGAAAACTGGGTCAATGCGAGCTGGGGGGTCTACATCATATTTCTGTACTCACTTTGCGTCCAGTAATCTGTTTCTTAATAAACTGACAGCTGCAGTTTTGAAAATGCTCAAGCCTTATAAAATTCACACCGTTTCGGAGGAACATACTGTCTCCATCTTCAGGGCGTCAGCCCAGAGAATGGATGAAGTATGTTGGTGTCTTCCTTCAGGTCCACACGACGTTACAGCCCAGAAGATCTACGTCATAGGAGTGTGATCCGCGATTTATCATTCGTGAGTGTCTTTAAATTTCATTCATCAATATAAAGTTGTAGCAGTTGATACAGCGGCAAGTAATAACCTAAGATTAGCGAGTTAGTTTAATTACTAAGCACTCACAATTCTTGTTCCAACCTTGATTCCTTCCAAGACAGTTTGGTGCAACTCGAAGAACGAGTTTAATAGTCAGTAGCAGTGGTGACGGGGCGAAAATTACTCCTGATACGTGTGTAGCGTACTGAACCAACCTGCAGCTAATATACGGAATAAATTTGGATTTTTAGCGATATGAATAAACATCGAATTATCCAGACCTTCCTGACAAAACAAAGTTAAAAGTCGATATCTTAAGTTCTCACGACGGTTAAAATGTACAGTTACTGCTCAGTGTCACGGACCAGAGATCACAGACAAGAATTGAAACACGTCTGGAGGTTTGGGAATCGGTAATTGGAAAACTGTGTCTATTGTTGGCAAGTTGTTCGTTGTTGCTGTATGGGTTGATAAAATACAACACATTTCAAACCAGTGGCTTTTGTTAGCATTATAACATAATGCTGTTACTAATAACACGGTCGTCTTCAGTGTCTGGAGCTCAAAAACTAAAACATTGGTCACCAATATTAGATTTCGTAAACTCCTGTGTCCATAAACAACACAAATAAGACACAAATATTCTACCTACCACGACACACATTTGCTTATTCACACGTCTGTTGGCCGGATTTCTGGGCGTAACAAGGCACTGCGAAGCTACGCCTATTGTTGTAACACCATAAACGCGCGTTGATAAGTTACGGCCTTCGTGAGAACGTGAGATGTATAGCTCAAGAACAACCATTTTATCAACATTATGAACACGCGACAGCTGTTTTAAACAATGTGAACACGACTTGCTTAGTACCTCGAGTCGCCGAGAGATGGTGGTTATGAGCGGGTCGTGGCTTCCCCGTAGCACTGCACAGCTCTCTCACACAAACACTGCTCGCTACCTGGAGCTCGTCCTCACCTGATCTAAACTAACGGGAACGAACAAATCTCGTCACTACTGGTTCCGTGCTTGATACGATGTCGTTGTATAAACTGTATCATCTCATAACCTTCAGAAACAAATGACTCCCACCACCCGCGCTGCTACAACAATTTTAAATTTGTGAACAGATTCCGCTGTTGTCCTTAATTTGTCAGCCGTTCTAAATACGTTTTATGAAACATTATTGCTAATAATTGATCGGAGGTACATGACGGATTCAGATGGTGGCCATTACGTTACGTTTATTTGAACAATGACCTCACCACGATTATAAGGCGACATTAACCCTGACGAAATTATCTGTGAAATAAGGCTGGAAATTGTCCCATGTTTTTTTAAAATCTCTTCGATTAACGATTAGTGACCATATACCTGGAATTTTCTCGTAGATGCCGAGGAAAAACCACGAAACACTCGTAAGTCTGGATAGCCTATCTCCAGGCCGAGATTTGAACCCGTGATTTTCCGAATTTCGAAGCTGAAAATACCTTTAATTATTTATTTCCGTGTTGTAATTGAAAAAATTTTAATTAAAGATTTCTTAAAGTTTTTGTCACGTCGATAGTAATAGTTTAGAAAGATGCAGTTTTTGTATGCGTGTAGGTGTCTTCTATTTTAATATTATCTTTTATTCTGATTGTTTTTTCACAATTTTTTTTTGTATTATTTTGCACATACTGTGCTAAGCGTTCACATACAGGTAGACATATGTCTCCTTGTCCACGTATTTTAACGTAGAAATTAATTAATAAATTTCGATTAAACTTGGTATTTTAAGCCCACACTAAAACCTTTCGGGCGAGTTTAATTTTTGTTCTGCTGTCTGTAGTTCGTTTGTGTGTCCAATATGAACCCCCATTTTATATTATGCTCAAATCGGACTTATTTAAAAACTCAAAAGAAAGTTAATCTTAACAAAGGAATCTTACGTGGCCTAAAGTAGACGTGATTAAGTTAGTGTTCGGTTCTTTGTAGTGTAACACTAGAATGTGTATTCAAGGCAGGAATTAATTTTTGGAAATATGGAGCAGATCTGCACATTTCCAGTTTTGTTATCATTATTTCCAGGCAATTTCTGAGCCAGTAGTTGTTAAGTAGACCGAATCTGACGTCAATAAAGACGTTACCCTGTCGTCTGTCTTATCACCTCTGGAACTTGAGCTACATGGGCGCCATGCTGTGAAGCGTATCCGTTCACACTAGTTAGCAAGCTACCCGATAATCGGATAAACATAAACACAATTACAGACGAAACAACGTGTTCAGTTTAATTAAGACGAGAGCCGGAACTGTGCATGGAGCGGAATATGTAATAGTTCCGAGAGGTTTTAAACCTCTCCTTGTTAGTAACGAGATATCTCACGTAGAAGTACTGGCCCTTCCTGTCTGTCTGCTTTTACAGAAGTTACGCCAAGTTACATATTTGCGTCTTCTAAATGACAGTAATCATACGTTGTCATGGAAACACTCTTAAAGCCAGCTTGGAAATGGTTTAAACTCTCGCTAAACATCCTCGTAAGTAAACGCGAATGCCTTCCGTTTGGTTCATTCACGGCTATTGCAGCATCAGATACAGGGTGTCATAAAATATTAACATTGTTTACGGCTTGGAGTCTAGCTGACTCGGCCAGCTGCCTGTGGGTGTGTCGTCCCTGCCGGCCTCATGTCATATGGTGACCACTCGCCAATACGTCTAGCGACGTTGTAAAAAATGCTTTCGCGCTTTCTATACATCGCCATGTTGTTCTTACATATGAGAACTGTAAAGGATATTTCTTGAGTAGGTCTAGCGGTATCAGTAATTTCTTTCCCGTTCATCGGTTATTTGGATGACTGTTTTTTTAGACAGTCATCTGTCACCGCGTTACTTCATTCCGCTAGAATGCGTTATTGTACCCTTCAGAAATGACCAAATTCGGCTCGTAGCTTAATCTATTTGTCTGCCTCGTAAAACTGGATATATAAAGTATTTTAAGAAACCAGAGTTTGACAGCGCGTCGGTGTTCAGGTGTGTGAAGGAACAAGTCTTTATTTAATCTCCCTCACAACTCAACTACACCCAAAGTCAATATTTCCATAACAGAACTCAACTGAACCGACTCTACCCTTACTGATTTCGTTTTATAAATATGATCCAGCTTTTCATTTTGATTGCTAGTTATTTTGTTTCATAGACCAATCAATAAATCAAAATACTCAACATCATAAAATTGTAAGATGGTAAAGTTGCGTCATATTGTGATATAATAAGTATATATTAAATCTTGTCCGTCTAATCACAATAAATTCTTATTAAATATTGAAATATTACAATAATTAACATTTAAAATATTTAAAATATTAAATGATGTTCTTTATCGAAATATTCGATTTACATTAGACCATCATTTTTCATGTTTCACGACATGTTTCAGTTCCTAAAAGAACTATCTTCAGGTGTATATAATTATATAAAACTTCAAAACAATAAATAATTCAAATACAATTTTCATATATTATCCCAGCGTACATTTTTATCAGATTTTTACAAATAATGCAGAACTGTGGATAGAGAGTCTATATTTGTTATTTTATTTATTTATTTATCTTTGCGTCTTTATTTTTTCCGTGTTCCGTCTCCTTTTCCTTTCCACATCTAAAATTGTAAAAAGTTTCGATCACGAGTTCTTAGACCCATCTCAGTGCACCACGTGCTTAGCTGAAGATGGTGGTCTTGGGTCCACACGGTCAGACCCCGGAGGTCAACATCTGACGCTGAGTGAGGCTGCATTTAATTTTCAACCGGGTTGAATCTCATCTCCTTCGATTTTAATAATATCCCTCATTTACTACAAAACAACTTTTGTGGCAGTATGTGTATTTTTCCGATTTTGAGGTCTCTTTTTTTTTATTAAAGCTTTTAATTGTTTTGTGTTTCCATAGCAACTTCATCGTAGTTCTGTTTTTATAACGCTACAACTTATTAAATTTCTGCATTCGAATACATCAAAGAAAAATGCGTCTCCATGACAACAGTCAGTCGGTTAATTATGTTTAAAAGAAATAATCGCTGTTCATTCTGAGAATCGTACGAGCCACATAAATACGACCAACACTGAGAAGAAAATGTATAGCCACTGAATTATAAATATGTGGCACATTTTAGTTGCCACTTTGTTAACAAGCGTCCACACGATCGCAGTTTTACGTGGAACTTGGGGGCCGGTTTGGAAATGCTTTCCGCTTGCCATGTCTAGATGACGCACTGTCAGCTTCTCGACTGCTAACGACATGTGGCAGTCTCCGCTTTGCGTGTCGACTTTCGGAAAACGGGACACGAGAGGTTTGTGACTGATGAATGGAGCCTTTCTGTCCTGGTAATACGTAAGCCATTGTCTTCACTGCCAGCTTCAAGCCCAGGCCACCCCCCGGGGGTTCGAATATCACCGCCACACCCCCGAAAAGTTTTTACCTGTAGCGTTGCTCTCTCTCTCCTGACGAACGCTAGGATAGTATCCATGAAATATCGTGACCGCCTCCTTCAACATCCCTCCCCATTCATCATACTATTTAATATCTTATTTAAACAAGAAGACTGTTGTATCGTGTAGCCTGGTAGAAGTCTGCCGACGTTTCAGAGATGCTAGGTGCCTCCATGAACACGGCCGCAAACACGTCTGAAACGTCAATCAGTTGATAGCAGACTACACGTTCGATATCCCAAAAGACATTAATCTTCATATTCTTGGCCTTGAGGACCTAATAAGGGTGGAACTGATTCTTTAGTATGGAGTAGGTCTGTTCATTTTCTGAACGTATCCTCTTGATATCTTGTACAAAATCAATATCTGATATCCGTTTAATGAAGATAAAAATCATCCTACACGTATCACACTGTTAAGACAGATTTGTTAAAATTCACCACACCAAAGAAGATAAAATATATGTTCTTCCGAAACGTCGCTGTCCACGTAGACGTACACACCACGTGACAACACAGAAGACAAACATCAAGTGTTACAGCTTCCCCCGTGATGGTACCTTCAAGAAAACTGCATCTTTTTACGACAACTGTACTGATCTGACTGTCCACGGAGCGTGGGTGTGTTGGGAAAAAAAATTCGAGGCAGAAACGCTGACCAGAGCTGTACTCGCTACTGTTGCTTTCACCCAGTTCGATCAAGTGTTAATGACTGGAATTTTGTTTCAACCGGACCATGAAATGGGGACTTCTGGAAGTAAAAGAAGTGGTCGTGGCCCACTTAGTCACAGACACACACGACTTCGCCCGACTGAGTTCACGAGCGAAGTTCTTTCGTGCCACTAGGACATGAACGTGTATGGGGGGCGTGAAGGAAAGCTTTCTCTGACCTCCGTCTCTACTTACGTGGAAACCGCGTTGTGGCTAATGTCTCTAACCCTTTAAGGCTCAGTGGTAACTATACGTACCACCTGCTTCAACGATCGCTAAATCTGCATTTTGTATTCATTTGTTTCGTATGATTCTCACTTTAAACGTCGATTATTTAATTAAACAGCGTTAACCAGTTGATATTTGTAATGGTGAAGTGTCGTGTTTTCTTTGAGGTACGGACTGGATTCTTAAACATATTATTTGATACGAGATTCGGCTTAAAAGGGTTAATAGTTTTCTTC